AGGAGGGAGAAGGGCCCAAGCAAAGCCAGTAGAGGGTTATTTTATGTCAGAAACTGCAAACCTAAAGCTTTGGTCAAGTCACTTGGCGTCTTTACACTGCAGTGTCCTCATTATAAAATAGGAAGGAGGGATCCCTGGGTGGCACAGCGGTTTAGCGCCTGCCTTTGGCCCAAGGCGCAATCCTGGAGACCCGGGATCGAGTCCCACGTCGGGCTCCCAGTGCATGGAGCCTGCTTCTCCCTCTGCCTGTGTCTCTGCCTCTCTCTCTCTCTCTGTGATTATCATAAATAAATTAAAAATAAATAAATAAATAAATAAATAAATAAATTTTAAAAAATTAAAATAGGAAGGCTGTGTTGGAGCTCAGCAGCAATGCTGCTAGCTTTAAAAGTCTAATCTGGATTTCTTATAACTAGACAATCCTCCAAAAACCTGACTTTGAAAACAGGTCTATGCTTGTGTGCCTCTAGCCCTGACAGCCCTCCTGGCCCCAACTCCTATAAGCTATCTAGAGCTATCTGCACTGTTTAGTGATTTATTTTGTATTTGACAAAGCAAAATGAGGGGAAAAAGTTAGCCATAAAATATCAGGGGTTTGTAGCAAAAACACAGTATCCTCTAGATGGGCTAGAGCCCAATTCTTAAAACAGCTGTGTGGACACTGAGTCCAAAACTTCTTTTAAAAAGAGTGGAGGAAAAACATCACTAAGTCGATAAAGAATATTTCATAAACCATGTAACTACTGTATACATAAACACACTAGTTCTTCAGGGTGCTATAAAAGAACTCCAACAGGTCTTTCATCTTATTTTGCCTCACCTTTCTTACTGAACTAGGTCACATACCCACGGCGAGCTGCAGAGTCTTGGTCATGCCACAGCTTAGGTAATCTACCTTGTTGGCATTGTCTCCATGAAGTAGTTGTATTACTATAAACCAAAAAATTAGCCACTTGTCTTTGTACCATTTATTACACTAGCACAGGGTTTCTCAGCCTTGGCACTACTGACTCGAGGGCCTAGGTAATTCATTCTGGCAAGGGACGACTGTCCTTCGTGTGATAGAATGATTACCATCCCTGGCACTTCTAAGTTGTGACAATCAAAAAATATCCCCAGATGCTGTATCACGTCTCCTGGGAGGCAAAATCCCCCCAATTGAGAACCCTGCTGCACTATAAGCAAGTGCTCTAAGTACACAACTTCTGTCATCAGATCACAAGTTTGAGGGAGGGGCTCTAATGAGTATTTCTCAAGCCCTTTTAAGCAAAGGCAAATACTTATCCAAGCAATTTAAAGAAAAACAAAATCCAATGCTTGAAAAAAAGTTATGTATTCCTGTTCAGCCATACTTTTAAAAGTATAATATGGGGTCTAAAAGATACCATCTTAAAGTTTCCATTTCATAAATGGCATATAGACAAGATCTGTAGAATGTGATTAAAAACAGAGTTGCTTCATGCATAGCTGCCCCACAAGCCATTTGTAAAATACTGTGTATCATTCATTTTAGCAGCAAAAGGAGAACTCCCAACTGGAAAGAAATTTTTCTGGCTGGCAGTGTTTTTATAAAATAGAAGTTATCTATTAACTGTGAAAACTAAAACCAATCTATCATAATCACATAAGTGATTATACTAAAAGTTATTATAAAAGGTATAAATTTATAATGTATTTATCTATTCTGATATACAGCTATAAGTTAATATATTTAAAATCTCATCAGTTAAGACATTAAATAGAAAGCAAGATCCCTCAAACTGAGCACCCTGGCCCATCTTTGCTATTTCAGTTTGCACACAGAAAATACCTGCATCCACAACCATTCAGGACTCTGCACTTCATGTACATTAATGCAGAACCATTTTAAACAATTTTAGAGACTAAACATATAGAGGTAAAAGATAAACATGAGGGTAAAGTTTAAAATAACTTTAAACCTTAAATAATGAAAATGTAGCCATATGTAAATATAAAAAGATGGTTTCATCCGTACCAGGTTTATTTTGGCAGATAAAGTCAAAATAAAAATGTATATATTGCACAACTATGTTAGAATTGTATATTTCTTAAAGAACAATTGTCTTGGTATTTTCTTTCATGTAAAGCATAAATCTTTAAGATGTAATAAGTATATTTGCTTTTTTTAACTGGTTTTTTGCCTTTTTTTTTCTCTCCTCCAAAAATATAAAAATGTATGCATGTTCAAGTTGCACAATTCATTTCTGAAAAACGAACTGGAAAAGTAATCATTAGTATGAGAAAAACTCAACTATGAAAATCAAAAGTGTTATTTAATTGTAAACCACTCTTCATACATCAATGAATTATAATTAAAATTGTTTTAAAAACAAAGCTACATTACTTTGTGGAGTTTTAATTTTATGGCTCGTATATTTCACTGTATTTATCTTACCCACTCACTTTGTTTCTGAACATGTTCAAGACTCAATGTAAGTAAGAGTGAGGATGTATCTAATCCTACAGTGGTAAGATTACACTAGCAGTGACCACAGGATGTTTTGTAAAGACCTGAAACTACCTTCATGGTTTAGGGACTAAGTATAAAAGCTAGACTCTAAATGTGTCCACACACAGCACTGCATCGCCTGGAAGCCTGTCACAAAATGCGTACTTTAGATGCCATCTAGAACTACTGAATTTGAACAGGACGTTTAACAATCGCTAGATGATTCATACATTACATATTAAAGTTTGAGAAGTACTGCTCTAAATACAATTTATCTCTTGAAATAAAATGTGTGCTTGGAATAGAGAGGAAAAAAAAAGTTACTCCAACTGTTGCAACTTGCCAAGGCACTCATCTGCAAGGTTTTCTTTTTTGTTTTTGTTTGTTTTAGTAGTAAGCAGGAGGGTTTAAATACATTAAGGATTAAATATGCTGAAGTTATTATGTGTCATCAAGCTTACTGACATTTAAATTAGTTAATACAAAGGTTGATGGCATGTGTTTCCATCTACAGTGATGCACAAACATCTCCCATTCCCAGATCAAGTGATCTCTCAAACGCCCTCAACTCTGCCCATCCCAATTGTGGTGATCTACATTGTAAGGGCAGCTTACTGCAGAACTGCCACCAGTTAGTGTGTCTGGTATGCATCATACATTAAACTTCAACTATGAAAAAAAAAAGAACGTTAGCTCTGTCACAGATCTATATATTAAGGCCACAATTTTGTCCCAAATTGGAAAATCTTGTATTTACTCATTTTTTAAAAGTAATTCCTTTTACTATTCTACATCAGTTTTTAAAAACCATAAACAGCATTTTTTAAAATTCCATCCTCATCCTAACTCCTTAATAAACTCAGATACTAATTAAACATTGGAAATAATCTTATTCAAAGTCAGACACTACTTTTCATCGAAGAGCCACTCCAACTTAACTTAAAAAGGCTACCTATATTGAACTTTTTAGTTCTATGCCAAAGAAATGGACTGGGGTGCCTGGGTGGCTCAGTCTGTTAAGTGTCTGCCTTTGGCTCAAGTCATGATCTCAGGGTCCTGGGATGGAGCTCCGCATCAGGGTTTCTGCTTAGCAGGGAGTCTGCTTCTCCTGTTCCATCTGCCCCTTCCCCCTCATGTGTGTGCGCACTCTCTCTCAATAAATAAAATCTTTAAGAAAGAAAGAAAAGTAATGGACTAAAAATTTGACTCAAGTTGCTCTTGCTGTAGCCCTGGCTCTACTGCCCTCTGCTGGGTCAGCTACCAACTACATGACAAATCATTCAGGCCTTAAGAGACCTCTTTTGCAAACTCGTTGCTAGTAAGTAGCTAGGTAAGATGTCAGGATGGGAATGCGGGAGGGAGTAGAGGGGAAAACCTGCCCACTCATGCAGTTAGCCTGATACCTTTACACAACTGTGAGCGTGACAACTACATGTGTTTAGGTGTATTTAATTGGGGGCACAATTCTTAACACCAACTCACTTTTCAGTGCATGGTGGTAGCTAAGGCATTGCCCTGACCTCAGGAAGTCCATAGTCTAAAAGAAACTCGTAGATATGGTATATCAGGTAGCATAAAGGTCCACAGCAAGACAGAAAGCAGAGTAAGGGAACAGGATTCCAGTTTGAAATAGGATAGTCAGAGAAGGCTCTCTGAGGAGATAACATTTAACTGGGGGTTGGAATAAAGTGGGGAAGTAGACTGGGAATATCTGGAGGAAGAGCATTCCAGATAAAGGTACAAGTAAGGACCCTATGACAAAATAAACTTGTTACACACCAGCCACAGCAAAGAGGGTTCGGGGGTGGGGTGGGGGCTGGAGCCCAATCACAGACTGAAGGCCACAGTGAGGACAGTGGGTTCTAGGATGGAATTAGCTCTCAGAAGGCTCCAAGGAGGATGAAGTGACCTCAGTGGGAGATAGAAGAATGGCAGCAGGGGGGACTGTCAGCAGGCCACATCAGCAGTCCAAGAGCAGTGGAGTGGAGACCCAGCAGCAGAAAACGGAAGTAGCAGCTGGATTCAGACATCAAATCTGTTTTCAAATTCTCCATTAAGTTCATTCAGGGATCTGAGGTCAAGACTCAAAGTACTGACTTCTTGACCACTATTCCTCACAACAAACTGAAATATATTGTGACTCCAATATCATTACCAAAGGATTAAAATATTCACAAAATCACAAAATACTTCACTCATTGACCATCTACTATTACTTAAAAAAAATCCTTTTCATTTTGCTTACTGAAAAATACTTAAAATATAAATAATCTGAATTTCCTACTTCATGGCATAGTATGTCTACCACAGGCATCTTTCCTCACATTTAAATTACAATTCCGTTTTTTCCTTAAATTACACTTCTGTTTTTTTCCTTACAGCGTTTCCTGTATCTCTGGTTCCTGCAAAAACCCTCATCCCAGACACCCACTTATTTTTTTTCTCCCTTTTGTCCCACTGGTGTAACATAAGAAGACATTGTGCTTCAGTAAACTATCTTAACTTCTAGAGAAGAAAAATCAAAATGTGATAAAGGCAGTTGTTCACCAAATTTAATTTTAGTACTCTTAAAAAATGTGTGACTTAATCAGTTGCCCAAAAACATTCTTTGTTTCTTTTCCAAGATGATGATGATTCTTCATACATTTCCTGAAAAACAGAACCATAACAGGTTCAAAACAGAGTGGCTTAATAAATTCAACTACATCTGAAGAATTCAGGTAAATGAGTATCACGTCTATTTAAATCTGTTACTCTTCTAACAATCCAACACTGAAAGTAGAAAAATAAATAAATATGTTCCCTATACTTAAGGACTTCCAATCATGTGGGAGAAACAATAGACAAGACTTAACAAGACAAGGCACAACCAAAGAATAGAATAAACAATTCCATCTGGGACCATGTCAGGGGAAAGCCTGAGCAAGGTCATGCAAGGAGGATGGAACCTCTTTAGTTTTAAGCATTTTTTTTCTTTCCAAACACATCTACTACTTCAACATTTCTAAATATGCCTTTTTCTGTATATTAAGGCTATCATTTTGTCCCAAATTCAAAAATCTTATATTTACTCATTTCCATAGGCAGAAGGCGGATTTACACTAAGTGTGAAATTAAGTGACCACACACCTAATTCCTAACTAGGTTTGGGCTGCACCCTAGTGACAACTGCTCTGTGAGTGTGGGCCCATCCACCTGCCTACATCTTGCCTAGATCACCAATGATCTCAAAGTACAGATGGGACTAGAACTCACAAAAATTTAGATAATTCTTGGAAGGGAGGGGAATAAAAATGTATTGTTCTTTCTTCTCACTCTCCTATCAGATTCTATTTCTGAGGGACAGAAATCCAAATTTGACTTTCCTCTGAACACCTGTACACACTTCTCAACCTCCTCAGGCAGAAAAGTAAAACAGAAAGCTCAGCTAGCTCTCAAAGTGTAAAAATGAGAGAATGTCCCAGCTCCTGCTCACTCCCTTATCCTGGGCACCTACCTTCTTCATCTGCTATCAGCTAGCTAGCCTTTCCTCCTCCCTGATAAAGAAAGTTACCTCTGCTGCACAGGCTCACAACTCAATGTAGGATGCCCTCCATACCTCACTCTAGTCAGGAAACTGCCTCAGGTAGTCCATCAACATTGTGGCAGCTCTGTTCATAGCAAAGCCACCATCTATCTGAGCTTCACTAAGGCAGTTTTCTCTCAGATACCCTAAATTCGAATCCCAAAGTATACCCTTCTACGAAAGGGTTTCATTTTTTATTCAGAAAACACGGTCCCTGAATTTCACAAGCCCTTTGTTAGAGTCCCATTTGCTTATCTCCACTACTGGCTGAGGTGGTAGGCTCCTGGGAAAGACTCACCTTCTGGTCCTCTGCTCTGGCCTTCTAATCTGAGCAGTTAATTCAATTCATTCCTCAGTTTTGCTACCAGCCAAAATGCTGTGGGTAATTCTAGACTCTTGAGTGTGATCACAAGTTTGAGAATTCAGAACAATCCCACTGTTGTTGGAAGAAATTAGGGAGTGGGGTCTTCTCATCCCTTCAGAATGTCCTCTTTAACCAGAGATTTGCTCATTTGACAGATGTATTGGCAGAAAATGAGTTAAAATTTCCTATTTATATTTTAATATCCATTCACTATGCATTTTCTTAGAAGAGGCAATACCCCACCCTTTTCTTTTCCTAAAAAGAAATTCTAGAATGTTCTTTGCTGTTTTGCCTTGAAAAATATTTTTAAGCTATTGCCTAAATAGCCATGCATTATTCCCAGTCAGCAAAAGAAATTCAAGGGAATTCTAATCCAAAGAAAATGAATTCATACATGAACCAATGGAACAGTCCAGACCAGGAGATCTAGTTGTTACCATCTAGTGAGGCCTAATTTGTGCCATGCATTCTTTGAAGCATGTTCTTTTCAGGTTTAGCAAACCTTGGAAAGGAGACATTACATAAACAGCTTATTTCACAGATAAAAAGAACATGATTCTATACAGTCAGGGAAGACCCATGAATACAAGTTCTATACGTAACCTTACTCCTTATCTTTTAAAAATCTATGAGAAAAATCACGTTCAAATGGCAACATTAGATGTTCTCTTACCTTTTTCCATATGGGCACCTTGGCTTTTAAAGTATCAATGGCATAGCTCACAGCCTGGAGGGATGAGGCTCTATGGACCGAGGACACAGCAATGATAACACTCGCTTCTGATACTGGAACTAAGCTTTAACAAAATGAAGAAAACAAAATGCCATCTCTTTTGAATCTAGTTAAGTAATCTACTGAACAGATGAAAAAAAAAATCCAGTAAAGAATTCTTACAACATTCAGTTCTGTTTTTACATAAATTTCCAGATTAGTTAAAAAAAAAAAAACAGTAATTTATCCCAACTGCATTCAGCAGAGGGGATGCTGAGGTTGTAGCTACTTTGTTAGCACTGACCCACTAGACCAGTCTGATGGGCACTGAGAAAAAGGCCTACTGATTCTGATTCAAACAAGGCACAGTGCCAGGTAATACCCAGAGACACAAACTTACTGCATGATGAGTATAATGCAGATTTTAAAATATCAAACAGAAATAAATATAAAATAATTGATAAAATTATGATTAATGATAAAATAACAAACTAATGGAATATAACAGAGATGGAGCCTCAATTGTTAGGTTCTTTTTGAAGCCCGGAACTCCACTCTTTTTAGCAGTATGAAAAGGCAAACTAATTTAATAACCTTTAAAGGCATTTACGTTAAAAAAAAAAAAATCTACTAACAGACTTGTCATACAAACTGAGTCCAGACTATGAAACAATTCTTAAAAAGCCTTAAGGACTTTAGCACTTTAGCACTGCTGTCTGTTTACATTTGGACTTTTTTACAGCATCAGCCACTCTCCAAATGTTACAATGCAACACACAGCCCTAGAGGCACCCAGTGTTTCCACTCTGGGCCAGAATAATTCACAAACCTTCCTTGCTTGGTAATATAGGATTGCTATGGAAGGTTCTAGAATCAGTACAAAGATGGGAAACAGCAGCAATTAACTTTTAAATTGCTAAAGAAAATCATACCCAAGTCTATGAAACACTGCTATGTGTTTGACTGGCCATTTCTGCCTAATGTCACTACAGATCTTTCTGATCTCATTTTCTGCCATCGGTAGATATGCTTCATATTCTAAACTAATGACTTTTTTCCCTTCAAAGTTGTTTCTTGTAGTCCCTAAAAAAGAAAACAGAAAGAAAAAGAAAAATATTACAATAAGGTTTTTCCTTACAATAGAAGTAACATAAGAATAGAAAAGAGGATTATTTTTGAATAGACAAGAACATAACAATTTGTCTAAAAATTGCTATCAAACTTTCTCAAAACAAAAACTTGGTTAGAAAAATAAAAAATAATTATCACAAAGATAAGGAAATAAAATGACACTGATTAGGCAAGTATACCAAAAATATTCAATGGACAAACCAGGTAGGGAAACATGCTCCTAGGATTATCATTAAGTTAGTATCATCACCATATTTCCCCTCAATATTTGGAAAATACAGAATTCTCCCTGCTAATAATGACTTTTAATCCTGCCCTTCAAAGCCTTTAACATATGCTAATTTGAAGATTACTAAAACAAAATAAGAACTAAAAAAATTTCTACCCACCACCATGGGTAATCTTGGCTTACTGTTCTCAGTATCTTAAAATCCTATATTAACACTGAACATGGGAAACACTAATTTTTCCTGTCTTGTGCAGTCTACAGATGCTGTGAAAATGACAACTCACCTACAAATAGGGAGACTGCACCACAGAGTGGAGAAATCACCAACTGTGAGACTTCATCTACGGAGAGTTTCTCAGGAGTGAATTTTATTATATCTTTAGGTTTCTCTTCAATTTCATTCTGATCTTTCCTAGAAGATAATAATAAACCTTAACAATAGTACTATAGGCAAACACCCAAAGTACAGATTATGTTTCAATTTCTGTTTTTTGTACATTAGACCTGAGAGAATGATAAAAATAAGCAGGTGTAAAATTTTAGCAAAACTCAGCATATTTGTAAATATCCCTAATGAATCAAACAGGATATAAAGAGAAATTTACCATTAACATGATCACTTAAAATATAATCTATCTCATATGCCACTTTATGCCAAATTTTTGAACTGCTGCTCTTATCTTCCAGCATGATATGGGTCAGACATCAAAATCTCCATGCACATTACCTCTAACCACTTCATGTCCATGCACCAAACCTAGGAACTGCCTTTTTCTTTATCCAAAAAGGAGAGAGGGAGAACAGAAACCATGGTGACTCCACAGGAACTGGGCTTATTTCATACTGGACATAATCCCAGTTAAGTGAGGAAATAAGAAAATGAACGGTGTGCCTACCACCAGATGCCATACAAAGCCCTTTGCCTTGCACTTCTCATTTCCTTCATCATGCATCTATTATTATATACTCACTAAGAGAACAACCCCATGCACTAGACAAGGACCAGGGAACAAAAAAATCTAGCTCCTGCCCTCAGGGTACCTACACAGGAATGGGAGAAGCAAAGCAATAAAGAAAAATTATAAATAGGAGTAATTATCAAAATAAACAGCGTTCAGAGACAGAGCATGGGTGCTAGGGGAGGGGTTGTATAAGAGGCTCAGGGAACACCTGTCTCAAGAGATAGTATTTAGAGGTGAGAACTGAAAGATAAAAGAGCAGTACTGAAAAAAAACAAAACAAAAAAAAAAAAAAAAAACAGGGGAACAGGCCTGTGATCTCTGGCACAGAGGGAATAGCAAATAGAAAGCCTCTGGGACAGGAAAGACAGAAGTGTGCTCCAGAACCTACAGGGAGGCTGGAACTCAGGGCTCGAGGGAGAAAACAGATGGACTGAGACTGGGCACGCAGGTTGGACCGAGCAGGATGAGGAGTCTGTATATAATCATAAATCCTGCAAGATTTCATTCACATTGAAAGACAAGAGAAAGAAGGCTCAGAGCAGTTAAGGACTCATCCAAGGTGATTCCAATCCAACGTTCTCTTCCCTATGCTTCCAGCTACTAAAAAGAAAGAAAAGCATAAATATTCACATTGCACCAGATTATAGGATGTTTCAATCTTCTGTACACACCACCTGAGTTTCTTATAATAACAGGTAATCCAAATGTGGTCTATGGTTTATGAACTTCAAACCATACCAAATTCCACAACTTGATTCTATAAGGACATGGATTCTAAAACCACGTTACAAATCCTGTCAAACACTAACAATACATAACGCAGTTGAGTAATCTTCCTAATCTTTCCAAAGAACACCTTTAATCCTCTCTCTCTCTCTCTCTCTCTCTCTCTCTCTCTCTCTCTCACACACACACACACACACACACACCTTTAATGGTAGCATACTATTTTCTGAATAAATTCCAAACTCAAAAAAATGGCCTTTTTCTAAAATCATGGTGATGATATGGTCACCAGTTTTCCAGTAAAACTGAGATACGTATCTAAAAGAAACACTTATTTCCAAATTGTAGGACTAACAAAGATCCAGTATTTATCAGTATGATGGGCAATTTGCTTCTCAATATATATTCTTTACTTTTGGGGCCACTGCCCTCCAGCAGACTAGAGAAAAAAAAACAAGTGAAAAAAACAAACTGGCAACCTTATATGTTCCTTTCTTCAATGAAACCAAGGTTTTATCATTGAGTATAGTATTTACTCTTGATTTGGGAGAAAAGCCCTATAACATTAAGAAAGTTTTCGTTCATTCTTAAAAAAAAAAAAAAGTTTTCGTTCATTCTTAACTTTTCAATTAGGGATAATAATTAATTTCTACATGATATGTTGTTCAGTTGACAGTAAATTAAGCCTTATTCTATCTCTCCAGACTATACCAAGAGATACCCTTAGATAAAAACTATGCTGTTTGGGAAGATGTCATGGATCCCAGAGCTACCTATTTCTTCATACCTGGAAAATGGTAACTTTCTTGTTAGGCACAGTGATCTTTTTTACTTCCTGGCTGTGTAATTTTTCTATATTTCTCTGTGCCCAGGAGAGCTTTTATCCTGTATTAACAAACATATTTGTGAGAAAGTACAGAGAATCCAATAATCTGAATTCAAACATTGGCTCTGCCACTTATTAGCTGTGTGATCATAAACAAGTCTTTTCTCGAATTTGTTTTCCTTTCTGCAAAATAGGAATATTAATACTCCAGCATTCAGCACTATGACTGACACAAAATAAAATTTCAATAAATCATTTTAAGTGGAGAGAATGAACATGTCAAACTGACATAAAACTAAACTGCTTACAAGAGAACAGAAGTAGAGGTAATACGCAGATACGTGTTAAGTGTGTCTGCATCAATTCTTCTATTATAGCAATAACTACTGGTGCAGACTTACAAAAAGCATATACTTAAAGCAAATCATACACAACTTGTCACCTATGTGATCCACTTCCACAAAATTAAGAAAATATACCTCACACACCTAAATGGCTCCAGAGCACTACCCTCCACTAATGGGGGGGATGATGGCAATTTCATCTCCTGACTGAAGGTGGAGGAGCTGATCTCCAAGCTCGACATATTCTTGACGGACGGCAAATATCACCTGATTTCTGACATCAGCCAATCTAAAGGGGAAAAAGTATAATTAGAAGTATCAATGTTGTGTTTAGACCTCAAATCTCTTCAGCTACAACTAAAAATACATTAAATATTACATTACTTCATGAAGTGCCATCTGCAAAGTTACTAATTAAACCAACTTATATTATGCAGAGAAAATACATATCCCCTGAAGAACATATTTATTCACCACAAAGAACACAGTAAACTGCTAACAACTCTTTAATAAGATTTATGTTTGGGGATTTAAACAAACAACTCTCCCATCCTAAAAAAAAAAAAAAAAAGTCTAGACTATGCAATATTCAGATTGGGTCAAGAAAAAGAGAACGGGGGGGAGAGAGAGAGAGAGAGAGAGAGAGAGAGAGAGAGAGAGAGAGAAAGAGAAATTTCCTAATCAGTACATGCCCTCCCCAGGAAGTCTTCTCAGCCTACAACCAAACTAAGTATATCTCAGAATTTTCCCACAAGACCAGGTGTTTCCCAATAGGTAAAAGGTTAAAAATAAAGCAGGACAGAGCCCCCACCTTATTTCATGGATTATCAGGGTACTTTAAGAGCAACTCAAAGGGGCAGCTGGTTGGCTCAGTCCATTAACCACTCGACTGACTCTTAATTTCCACTCAGGTCATGATATCAGGGTTGTGAGATCCAGCTTCAAATCAGGCTCCATGATGAGCACAGAACCTGCTTAAGATTCTCTTTCCCTCTCTTTCTGCCCTTCCCCACACTCACTCTCTCTTAAAAAAAAAAAAAAAAAAAGCTTAAAACATATGAAATCAAGAAATAGTTTTCCCTTTAAACCAACACTGTGGAGTATCTTTTATGATGCACTAAGACTTCCAAATCTATACTGAGTTAAGTGACACAATTAATATTCCTGGAACCCCTTCAAATAAGTCATAATTATACCTTGTTGCAAAAAGGTCTTGAGGTAGGAACAGTAGCAGCAAATTAAAGATTTTCAAGAACCAGAAAAAATCAAATATTATGAAAACTCAATTCAGCAGTAGTAGCTAAGGTTTGTGAGCTTTCATTTTTCTGTTAATCTTAGAAATTCCTAGTTTGAGTTCTCTAAAGAAGGGGCAGAACATAAAATTTAAAGGACAGGTCTTCAACCTAATTTATAACAATTTCATTTAATGTTATAAAAATGTGGAACCCACATTTTCAGTATTTTGTAAATTATAAAAGCAAATACAACCATGTCCCTTTGACAGTATTCCAGCTCACTGTAGTTTTTCTTAGTAAAATATCTTTAGCCTTCTTTAGGACATTGTGTATTTTTAGACACCAGAATTTATTAGTTCCAGAAAAATGTCTGACCCTTTTTGACATTAAGCACGGAAATAAAAATCAGCTTTTTTTCCTCTAATCATTTCCACACTTTTCAATGTTTAAAAAGTGTTAATCATATGCATTCTACAAAATTTTAACTACCCAGGATGTCGTGCTTCTATCTCATTCCACAGCTGCAATGCTTTTATTTCTTGTGGAACAGAAATGGTCTCGGAGCGAATCCCTGCTATTTCAGCACTTTTTGCAAAATACAACACTTCAACCTGAAAAGGAGAGAAAATGCCTTTAACGATAACAGTAATAGACCTTATCTGTCTGGGTGGGCTCTCTTTCTTTCCAATTACTTTTTATTTATTTTTGTGAAAGATTTTATTTATTTATTCATGAGACACGCAGAGAGAGAGAGGCAGAGACACACAGAGGGAGAAGCAGGCTCCCCCTGGGGACCCCGATGCTGGACTCCATCCTGGGACTCCAGGGTCAGGGCCCTGAGCCCAAGGCAGGTGCTCCACCACTGAGCCACTGCAGGCGTCCTTCTTTCCAATTACTTTAATCAAAGGCAAATTTTATGAGTTAGAGATAATTAAATCACCCACAAAAAGTCGGTATAACTGCAAGTTCAAATTTTGAAAGCTCTTTGATTCGAGCACAATTCAGACTGATCTCCAAGCCTGCCACAACAGAACCTTAACGGTATCTTCTTAAGGACCACGAAGCTGTTCTTGACACAAAATGACAGCACCTTTTATAAACACTTAAGCAGGGAACTAATGTCTGAGTTCAGAGAGAAATTACACAAATACAATAACCAAAGAGAGAGAGAGAGAGGACACGTGTCTCACGGCTGTCACAGGACCTTTGATTCCTGTCCACATCACAAGGAACCCGGCTGCCGAGGACTCGGTTATGCAACATACGAACCCTAACGTTTGCAAAGGCAGGTGGGCTTGAGAACAGGTTCAACTGGTATTTCCTAGAACACACCTATTCCGTCAGCCTGGGACCTAAGAAATCCGGGCAGGTAAACTAACCCTCCTGTCACTCGCCGTGCAAATCATTCTCTACCAAACAGTCAAGGGGTCTGCACATAATCAAGAGTTTGCAAGCGTATCCAGGAAGCCCCTTTTCTTCACGGGGACTCGGGAGTTAAATGCATGGGCTTGGAAACGGTCTTTGCCAAAACGCAGAACCAGAGAAGCACCGGGGCGAGGGCGAGGGCGAGGGCGAGGGCGAGGGCGAGGGCGAGGGCGCCCTCCGAGGCCTTGGCGGCCGTCACCTCGGAGACCCCGAGCTCGCAGCGGGGCCCCGACCTCCTGGTTGGGGCAGCCCCCAAGGGCGACGCTGGGGGCGCCGGGCGCGGACGTAAGGCTCGACGAAAGTCGCCTCGGAGCAAGGCCGGGTCTGTGGAGCGGAGGAAAGGGGGGGCCGATGCGACCGCGAGGGCGCGCCGCCCTTACCTGACACCGCAACACCATCCCGCCGCGGCCCCCGCTCGGGTGTCCCGGCCGCGGAGGCGGAGCAAGGTCGGCGGAGTGCGCAGGCGCAGCCTCACGGCCTCTTCCGCCCGCTCCCTCACGGGGCCTGCGCAGAGCTGGCCCCGCCCCGCCGCGCTCCGCGCCGGGTGGCAGCTGCGGGGGCTACCGGCTGCGCGCCTGCTCCGCGCAGGGTTCAGGATCCCTTCGCGGGCGGGGCGCGGCGGGAGCTCCCGCTCTAGGTATCACGGGCTGCGGGGAGGCCTGGCCGCTCGCGCCCGCCTTCTTAGAGGCGAGGACGACGTGCGGGAGAGGGGACACCTGCCTGTCACCTGCGTTCGGCTCTGCCGCTTGCTCACCTGCAGGCTTGCCCTTGACGTCCCGTGTAGGGTCGACGTCCCTTAAAGGCCGAGCACCGGGCTTCTCAGAGTGTTCGCACGGTGTCAGATTTACAGTTTCCCGGTTTACTAGCTGCTCAGGAATTTGTCCGATTGCTAATCTATCCACCCAGCATTTCCAACTTTTTATGAACAAGAACTCTGTTTTAAGTTGCTTATAGGGATCCCTGGGTGGCGCAGGGGGTTAGCGCCTGCCTTTGGCCCGGGGCGCGATCCTGGAGACCCGGGATCGAGTCCCACGTCGGGCTCCCGGTGCATGGAGCCTGCTTCTCCCTCTGCCTGTGTCTCTGCTTCTCTCTCTCTCTCTCTCTCTCTCTCTCTCTGTGTGTGTGTGTGTGTGTGTGACTATCATAAATAAATAAAAAAAAATTAAAAAACAATTGCTTACACAGTTTTGTGGATATAAGCCAGGCACGCTTCCCCTTGGAACTCAATGCTGATTGGGAGACGGTCGTAAACCATAAATGTTAAGTCAGTGTACTAACATGCGATACTAGAGGCACATGTGACATTTCATGCAAGTGGTAAGGGAAAGGTGGCTGCTCCCCTGAGGAGTATAGGATGTCTTCATAGAAGCATGCTTGAGCTAAATCCGCTAGATTGAGGAGCAGTGGATGTCAGAGTGAGGGTAGGGATGAAGGAATTTCACTAAGGTGTGCCAAGCTAGCGGGGAATCAAGCAGCATTATGAGGTCACAGAAGGGCAAATAGTTGGCAGAGTAGACTTGACCCCTGCAAGGAAGTATTGGAAATGAGGCTAGATACCAGGTAGTAGCCCGTGGCAAGAAAAATGGACAAGAATTGACTAACACTGACATATATTTTTGTAAAGTTGCTTAACATCAAGGATAAGGAATTATATTCACAAACAGGAAAGCAGGGGAATGGTGACAACAGCCTTAGACTTCTCTGTGAGATCTAATGCCAGAGGATGGTGCAATATCTAAAAGCGACTAAGAACAAAGGCATGACCCAAAATGTTACATTGGGTGTAACATTTGCCAAGGGGGTGTTGTAAAAGGCCAATGCCTAATATACTCATAAATCTGCAAAACCTCAAAAAATGCAATATTCGAGAGCCCTTCTTATAAAATGTTGTCAGACAAAAATCCAGTCAATCAGAGTAATCAAACTAAAAACTCAGTAATAAAGAAGTTAATGGTAAAAACAAAGAAACTGAAGATGAGATTTTAATCCATTTAAATTTTTATAAAACAAAGACAGTTGTGGGATTATGGTTATGGAATAAAATGTAAAATAACATTGAAATAATAAAAAATGGTTATAGAAACTGCCCCAAATTGGAACATGTAGTTACAAAATACAACTCAAGCCTCTTAGTATTTTTTCATAATCTTGTTTCTTAATTTTAGAAGGATCTTTTAGGGGCAGCTATGTCTTATGAATAAATAATCTGATGATTTGTAATTCCTTCAATTATTTTGTTGTTAAATTCAAGTAAAAAGAAAGATCTAAAAAAGAAAAATAGTACAAAGCATAATTGCATTTAAAAATTATATCTATATAACTTTAATGCCCAGAGAAAAGGCATGCAATAACATTCACCAAATGATAATTGTTACCATATCTAGGTAATGGAATTATAGATGATTTAAAAAACATTTTTGCTTTTTTCTTTGAAAGTTTCTGCGCTGCTTGATTTTTAGAAATCACTTGTTTATTCTATAAATATTTATTGAGTATTCATTGTTATTTAAGCACCAGGGACACATCTGTGAACTAGAAAAGCAAGGTCCTTGCCTCATGGAACTTACATTCTAGTTTGGAAGACACTATATGTAAAACAACAACAGCAACAAATAAGAACAGTTTGTGATGAATGCTTAGAAGGAATTGGGTAGAGAAGGAGCAGGATACAGGTTTGTGCAGGGGGAAATGAACATCGCCTGACCTGAGCTGAGATCTGAAGGATGAGAGGAGCCAGACTTGTGCAGTGCTGCAGGAAGAGGCAACCTGGCTTTGGGTAGGAAAGACTCAGATGTTTGAAGGATTAAGAGAGGTCAGTGTGGCTGAATGTAAATAGTAAAAATAAAAATAAAAATAAGAGAGCAAGTAGGAAAGCAAGCCTGGTGAGATGATTTTGAAAAGAATAAAGGGAACCTGGGAGGTCCTGAAAGCCAAAGTGGATTTTTACTTTCAGTAGAAAGCTACACACAAAGACACACACGCATACACATGTGTACACACACACATGCGCTTTTGAAGATAAGATTCTGAATCTACTCTGGGCCATTTTGAGGAGCTTGAGCACAAATAAGTCTAAAAAGGAATCCAGTGAAGCCTTATCTATGGACTTTTTAATTGTGTGATATAATAAATTCCTTACTTTTCCCAAATATTTTCTGCCATAGTTTTTCAGCTATTAAATAGTATCTAGTATTTTACCCCATTATTAGGAACTCTCCATGAAATACTACTTACTTAAGTGACTTTAGGCAAGTTGAAGATTATACTCATATACTATGTTAACAAATGGAAGGAACAGATTTCAAGTCTCAGTCCATATGCAGGCCCTTATTATTAAGTGTAGTCGAACTTGAGAAAAGTGAAAATCTCTCTCTCTGAGGAAATCTCAACTGTGTGGTGTGAAATCTGTAGACACATGGCTAATGTCTTTAATATATTATTGGTGGTATTTGAACTCCTCACTTAAAAAATGGATAATACAACAGTTTGTTATTTTTAAACTAGCTCAGCATAAACTCTCATCCAGAATTACTCATTTTAACAGGTTGCCCAAAGAATAAGAGCTTGCCAGAGTGCCTTGTACCTTGTAGGTATGCAAAATATTGTTGATGCGTTTTGCAATTGAATGAAATTATTTACAAAATAACACATTTTTCTTGTGTAATTTTATTCGTTGGTCGTTTTCAATGAAAACACGAAAACCAGGATACACTAGGTATACATTAGTTTATTCAAAGAAATGAAAATCAAAAGAAACACGCCCCCTTGTGGTTAGCTATTCCATTTGCAAATCCTTCACCTAAGTGGGAAGTAAATACAGAAGAGTTTTTTTTTGCAAATGGTCAGCTTTTCACTAACCATATTCTGAAGCCAATATACAATCTTCCAGTTTTGGATGGCAGAGAAAAACTGGATCTCAAAATTTCATGTCTGCATAATCTAAGATAAGCACACAAATAGATTAAAGAAAAAAAAACAGAAAAATACACCACACAGGGGTTGGTGTATTTTTACACCAATAAAAAAATAAATACAATTACACAAAAGTTTTGCTGACCCCTGAGGTACAGAGAAGGAAGCATCTATAGCCTGAGGGCATGGGGTGGGCTGAGTAAAGTATTGGAAGAGATTTTTCTCAGCTAGGTCTGAGAAAAAGAAGGAAAAATACAAATAGAAAATACCAGGC